TGTTGATGTGGAAGAAGCAAGAAACAGCATGTGATCAGCCATGGTCTCACAGAATGGCAGAGTAGACACAATGGGCTGAATAGCCTACTTTTGGTCGAGAAGGTGCTGTTTCAGGAGCTGTGTCTGTGCATTGCTGCAATACACCTGGCAAATAAAAGATATGGACTGTTTCCCGTTAACTAGCTACAGTAATAATAAATGGCTCAATTTCTGGTTGGCAAGATGCTGGTTACGGGGATCAGTGCTGGAGCCTCAACATTTCTTGTACATTTATAACAATTATATCAATGACTTGGATGAAGGGGCGAAAGGTAAATTTGCTCATGACACAAAAAGAGGAGTAAGAAAGTAAGTTGTAAAGAAGGCATGAGGCTTCCAGGCAACTTTACCTTTACAAAAGGGGTACACAGGACAAAAAGCAAGGTTCAAAAAGGAGTCATATCAGACTCAAAACGTTAACATGTTTTGCCCATTTCTCCACAGATACCGGCAGACCTGCCGAGTTTTTCCCAGTACTTTGTTATTATTTCAAGTCTGCTGTATCCACATCCACTTTTATTATTAAAGCAACAAAGGTTACACAGGGCATTGGTGAAGATAAAGACAAAGCATTGCATATAATGCAGGTCTGATTTTATAATATAATATGCAGATTAATATCTGGAACATGTGGATTGCCTCATGAGGAAAGGCTGGACATGCTAGGCTTGCATCAGCTTGAATTTAGAAGATTAATAGGCATCTTAATTGAAAGATGATCCTGTTCGGTCTTCACGGGGTGGATGGGCGTTTCCTCTTATGGGAAGATCTAGAACTAGGAGATTGCTGCTTTATTTTAAGAAGTAAGGAGTTCCTGATTTAAAACAGAGGAGGACAAATTTTAAGGATCATGAGACTTTGGCCTCATTCCTCAAAAAGGCAATGGAAGCACAGTACTTGGTCTTTTTAATGTGGTGGTAGATGGATTCTCAGTAAGCAAGTAGGTACAAGGTTGTCAGACGTAGGCTGGAATGTGGAGTAATCAGATCAGCATAACCTTACTCAATAGAGAAGCAGGCTCAGAGGTCTGAATGGACTACTCATGCTCCTAAATAATATATTCATGAACCAACTGATCCAGTGCCTTAATAAATATGGCAAGTTTATTTCTCTCCAAGATAATTCCCATTGCACCAAACATCACCCTTTGAAAATTGACAAAACAAACCAGTTAAATAACAGCTGGAAACATTCTTTTATTCCTGTCATTTAACTTTGCATTAAAAAGCTTATCTCCAGAAAAGATTTAACAGTTTTGGAATGAATAAGTAGGATACTTATTGAGAAAAGCTATTATACAGATACTCTGGATGAAGTTGCCAGTACACAAAATCAAAATCAAAGTCAAAGTCAAAGTCGAGTACGTACAGCAGGTTCAAAATTATTGGACAGACACTGCAAAAGAACCAAAACAAGGAACAGACAAAACATTAAAAAAAATGCGTGGCTGACAAGAACCCATTGCTGATTTCAAGTAACGTCATTAAAATTTAGATGTGATAGTGTTGAACTGGGGAGGACAAGTTCACAAATCACATGACACCAGGTTATAGTCCAACAGGTACATTTGACGTCACAAGCTTTCGGAGCGTTGCTCCTTCGTCAAGTGACGTCACCTCACTTGACAAAGGAACAGTGCTCCAAAAGCTTGTGATTTCACATAAACCTGTTGGACTATAATCTGGTGTCATGTGATTTCTGACATTAAAATTTAGATTCTCTAGACACTTTTGTTAAAATTTGATCATAGGATCTGGGCATCACTGGCTCGGCCAGCATTTTTTGCACATATAACTGCCTAGAGGACAATTAAGAACCAGCCACTTTACTGTGAGCCTGGAGTCAAAGGTCAGACCAGGCAAGGATGACAGATTTCCTTCCCTAAAAAGGCATTTGTGAACGAAAATGGGTTTTTACAGCAGTCAGTGGTCGCCAATAGGCTATATCTTTTTATTGAATTAACATTTGATCATCTGCACAGGTGAGACTCAAAACAATTTCACCAGAATATTAAATTGGGGTTCTGGATTAATTATCCAGTGACATCATTATGCCACCACCTCCCTTATGTCCAAAAAGAACATTACTCCAGCTTTAAATAGACTAGCAAAGCCAAAATAAATTGGCAAGCCAAATACCAAAGATTGTTATTTTTTTCCCCCCAAACATTCACTCAAATCTCATTAGTTTGTCTAAGATATCTGAGCACAAATGCTCAGATTGGATAATATTGGAGATTCATGGATTAGGTCTCCCATTTTGCCCAGAGAGATGCACCACTATTCAAATGAGATCATGACTGATCTGACAATCTTCAGCTCCATTTTTCTGCTTTTTCCCCTACAACCCTGGGTTTCCTTGCAGAGTAAAAATTGGTCTCTCTCAGCCTTGAATATACTTAATGATTTAGTTGCAACAGCCCTCTGTGGCAAAGAATTCCAGATTCACTTCCTTCAGAAGAAACTCCTTCCCCTCTATCTTAAACATGCGACCTTTATTCTAAGATTATGCCCGCTGGTCCTAGATGCTCCCCCAGGTGAGCACAACCTTTCCACAAGGACAAGATTCCAGGCAAGTTGACAAGGTATGTTGTTTCAACAAAATTTCCTCTCATTCTTTTATATTACAATAAGGACATATTTAGTCTACTCAACTTCTAAGACAGTCCCTCCATGCCTGGTCTCAGCTGAGCGAACTTTCTCCAAACTGCCTCCAATACTTGTATATTGTCTTTGTTTAGACAAAGCAACCCAAACTGTTAACAATATTCCAACTGTGGTCTGACTTGTTTGTCTAGTTTTATCAAAACCTTATCAACGCCCTTCAGAGTGTCTCCCACAACTCATCCTCACACCCCGCCCCTGCAATAACAACCAAAAAAGAATCCCCCTCGTCCTCACGTACCACCCCACCGACCTCCGGATCCAACGCATCATCCTCCGACACTTCCGCCATCTGCAATCCGACCCCACCACCAAAGACATCTTTCTTTCCCTCCCCACCCTTATCTGCTTTCCGGAGGGACAACTCTCTCCGTGACTCCCTTGTCCGCTCCACACTCCCCTCCAGCTCCACCACACCCGGCACTTTTCCCTGCAACCGCAGGAAGTGCTACAGCTGCCCCCGTACCTCCTCCCTCACCCCCATCCCAGGCCCCAAGAAGACTTTCCACATCAAGCAGATGTTCACCTACACATCTGCTAATGTGGTATACTGCATCCACTGTGGCTTCCTCTACATCGGGGAAACCAAGCGGAGGCTCGGGGACCGCTTTGCAGAACACCTACGCTCGGTTCGCAATAAACAACTGCACCTCCCAGTCGCGAACCATTTCAACTCCCCCTTCCATTTCTCAAACGACACGTCCATCCTGGGCCTCCTGCAGTGCCACTACGATGCTACCCGAAGGTTGCAGGAACAGCAACTCGTATTCCGCTTGGGAACCCTGCAGCCCAATGGTATCAATGTGGATTTCACAAGCTTCAAAATCTCCCCTCCCCCTACCGCATCCCAAAACCAGCCCAGCTTGTCCCCGCCTCCCTAACCTGTTCTTCCTCCCACTTCAAGCCGCACCCCCATCCCCTACCTACTAACCTCATCCCGCCCTCTTGACTCGTCTGTCCTCCCTGGACTGACCTATCTCCTCCCTACCTACACTCAGCTTTACTGGCTCCATCCCCGCCTCTTCGACCTGTCTGTTTCCTCTCCACCTATCTTCTCCTCTATCCATCTTCTATCCGCCTCCCCCTCTCTCCCGATTTATTTTAGAACGCCCTTCCCCTCCCCCATTTCTGATGAAGGGTCTAGGCCCGAAACATCAGCCTTCCTGCTCCTATGATGCTGCTTGGCCTGCTGTGTTCATCCAGCTCTACACCTTATTATCAAAACCTTCTTCCTTTTATACTTCATCCCTTTGAATAAAAAGGCCAACATTCCATTTGTCTTCCCTATTATCTGCTGAACTTGGATGCTAGCTTCGGGATTTCATGGATTAGGACTGCTAAATCCCTCTATTCCATACCATTCTGCAGACTCTTTCTCCATTTAAATAACATTCAACTGCTCAATTCTTCCTGACAAAGTGCATAACCATTTCTCCACACTATAATCCATGTTTCAGGTTTTTGCTCATTCACTTGACCTGTCTAGGTCCCTTTGTAGATTCTGTCATCCTCATCACTTGCCTCCCCACGTATTTTTGGTATCATTTGCAAACCTGGTTATAGAACAATTTCTTCAATCATGGCATTAATATATATTGTAAGTCATTGTGAATAAACAGCACTGATTCCTGTGGCACAAAGATTACCATCCTGAAAAATAGTCCTCTCCTCCTTCTTCCAACTGTATTCCGTTAGTCAGTCCTCTATCTCTGCAGCATGTGGCTCACTGGTTAGCACTGCTGCCTCAGCACCTGGGACCCAGGTTTGAATCCACCCTCTGGCCACTGTGTGTGGAGTTTGCACATACTCCTAGGGTCTGCATGGGTTTCCTCGGTGCTCCAGTTTCCTCCCACAGTCCAAAGATGTACAGGGTAGGTGGATTGGCCATGCTAAGTTGCCCTCAGTGGAATGGGAATGGGAGGGATGCTCTTCAGGAGGGACGGAGTGGACTTGTTAGACTGAATGGCCAGTTTCCACACTGCAGGGATTCTATGATTCTATACTACCTTCAACACCATGGACTCCTATCTTAAGGAGCCTCATGTATGGTACCTTGTCAAGTGCCACCTTAAAATCCAAATGTACGTGTAAAAATAAAAATCTCATTTTCCCCTTTCACCCCAAATCTTTATGGCCTCTGAAAACAATACAAAAACAGTAGATTAGATTAACATCAAAAACAGAACTGAAGATCAGAAAAAGTCAGACAGCTTTACAGAGGAAGTGTTTAAAAAGCTAAGAAAATGGAAAACGAATAGAAGTGTTAACTGTTAACCCCACACCAACTGATAAAAATACCTGCATGGAACTTGGACGAACTCAGATGCATCAAAGTGTCTTTCCAATTATTGTACCATGGAACACTAGCTTTAACTGAGCGATCTGATGGAAAACAGAACATGGTATTAATGACTTATTACTGAATTGAAGATCTTGTCGTCTATGTACAGAATGTCCAAAACTAAAAACAGGAGTCATAAAACATTTTTTTGTATCTTTTTCTGTAAAAACTCATTTTTGGCACGTACTGATTCACAAAATAAGTGACTTATTGTATACAAACTCGACTAATCCCACAGGGTGATGACTTGTCAGAGACAATTACAAAGGTGTCACTTAAATCATGTCAGCAAGACTACTATTTTGATTAGTTTCAGATGCTGACACTTGGACTGTAGAATGAAGTCAAAGCACGCTTTTAAATGCTCTCGGTAATGTGAAAATTAGAAGAACAACAATTGTTTCTTTTCATAAATTAGCAATGTTTCATGCTTGAGAGCACTGACAGCACTCCAGTTTAATGACTCACCCTCTAGTGGTAAAAACCATTTGCCTAGCCTTTTTTCACAATGAAAGTTTCATATAACTTCACACTGTTGGCATCACTGGGATTTGCAAATGTTTGCATAAGACAGTTCTGAAAAGGCACTATATAAATGCAAGTCTTTCATGTCCACAGAGCAATCTGAAGCTCTTTTGATGTTTATTCAATACTGAAAATTTAGGAAGTGCAGCAGCCAAATTGCACACCGCCAGTGAGCCACAGCTGAAACAAGGCAAGTAACCATAGTACTTCTAAAGAAATTTCACTCTTAGGTTCCAACATAGCAAACTGGGACTAACTTGAGCACAGCATTCTAATTGTCACAGTCAAGATTATTACGCTCACAAAAATGGACCAGCTGGTATTGTTCTTTCTGATTTTACCAGAGCATGTACACAAGTCACTGAAAGCAGCTCAACAGGCAGACAGTACATTCAGTTTTATTAATAATAGCATAGAGTACAAGAGCAAGGAGATTATGTGGAATCTGTATAAAACACAAGTTTTTGCTAAGATTTATAGCTCGGATTGTGGATGAGGTTGTAGACTTGCTTCCCGACGTTTCATCACCCTGCTAGGTAACATAGTCAGTGAGCCTTCAGTGAAGCGTTGGTGTTCTGTCCCATTGTCATTTATATGACTCGGTTTGCTGGGGTGGTTGACATTACTTCCCATTCTGTTTTTCAGTGCTTTGCATATCAGGTCCAGTTCAATGTGTTTGTCGATGAAGTTCCGGTTGGATGCCAGGCCATACTCACAACCAATAAAACTAACCTAATATACAAAATACCATGCAAGGACTGAAAAAAAAAATTACATAGGCCAAACTGGAAGAAAACTGACAATAAAAGTATACACAAACACCAGCGAGCCACCAAGAAACACAACTAATTCTCACTGGTCTCAATACGCCCAAAGGAGGACACGGATTCAACTGGGACAGCACATCTATAATAGCACGAGCCAAAGAGAGACATGCCAGGAAATTCCTGGAGGCCTGGCAATCCAACCAGAACTTCATCAGACACATTGTATATTGGGTCCAGTTCAAACCACTGAAAAACAGAATAGAAAGTAATGCCAACCACCCTAGCAAACCAAGGCACATAAATAACAAACGGGACAGAACACCAACACTTCAATGGAGGCACATTGATGCTGTTACCTAGCAAGGTGACAAAACGTCTGCAACCAAACACATCAGCTCAGTGAACAAATGCTTGTTCCATCTCAACTGGAGTACTGCATCCAGTTCGGAGCACTATATATTTTAGGATGTGAAGGCATTAGAAAAAAAAAGAGTGCAGAAGAGATTCCCAAGAATTATTCCAGAGTTAAGGAGTTCTATTACATAGACAGATGTATAAACATAGAAGATAGGAGCAGGAATAGGCCATTCAACCCTCTGCAATTCAATATAATCATAACTGGTTGTGGAGCTCAATGCCCTAATCCCCAACTCCCCCATATCCCTTGATCCCTTCAGTCACAAGAGCTATATCTACCTCCTCCTTGAAAAAGCCATGTTTTGGCCTCAACCACTTTGTGGTAGTGAATTCTAGGGAGTGCTGAGTCTATAGTTGAAGAAATTTCTCATTTCAGTCCTAAAAAGGCTTATTCCCTTATCCTTAAGGTCTGGACTCCACCCACTATCAGGAACATCCTTCCTGCATCTAACATGTAGAGTTCTGTTAAAATTTTATAGGTTCATATGAGATCCCCCTCCTCATTCTTCTGAAATCAAAATATGATCCTAACAGACTCAGTCTCTCCTCATACTATTAGTCCTGCCATTCCAGGAATCAATTTGGTAAACTTTTGCTGCACTCCCTCTACAGCAAGAACATCCTTCCCCAGGTATGGAGACCAAAATTGCACACGACTTTCCAAGGCCTTGCCAATGCCCTGTATAATTGCAGCAAGACATTCTTGTTCCTGTACTCAAATCCACTTACTATGAAGGCTAACAAGAGTTTGCTTTCTTTACTGCCTGAGCACTACACTTTAGGACGTGAAAGCATTTGAAAGAGTGCAGAAAACATTCACAAGAATTATTAGAGTTAAGGAATTCTATTAGGTAGACAGACGTATAAACATAGAAGATAGAAGCAGGAATAGGCCACTCTGGACTGAAGATAGAAAAACGATTTTTCAGTTAGTGGAAGGATCAAGAACGAGGGGCCAGACATTTGATATTTTTGGAAAAGGCAAAGGAAGCATGGAGATTAATTAAATTGATAAGAGTAGTAGTATATACAGACTTTGGGGCAGGGTTAGCATTGGGTGAAGAGCAGGTCCAGACATGGCAGGTCTTCTGCACAGCAACCACCAGGAGAATGGTAAGCAGTGTTATAGACAAGATGTGCCAATTTGAAATGATCATTTTCTTTTTTGTAAATAATAAAGATGAATTCTTCAAACCATAATCTTCTATAACACATGTAAATCTACACTAAAAATTCTTTTAAAACTGAACGGAGGTAAGGGGGAAAATCAGCACATGTACTGACACTTCAAGACTTTCCTGATCCTACAACACAAAAGAAGTTGAATATTTTCTGAGCACAATTCTCTTCCATTAAGGATTGTTCAGATTAGACCATAAAATATCTAACTTAAATCTGTTTAAGCAGTCTTACTCTGCATTAAAACAAGCAGTGCTTTATTTTGCAATTTTGATGAGAAGAGTCTGATAGTCTGCATTTTCTTCATTAAGCAGGTTACCTTAGTTTTGGATTAGTTACCAAACCTCTTGTAATTACTTTACCATAATTATTGAAGACATGGATGTCAATTCCCAATGATCCATTACAGAAAACAATTCTATTTACAGCAAGCAAATGGGGCCAAAGGAAAAGCTGCTCAATGAGAGAACAGGTTCAGCCAAGCAGAGGATGGTACTGATTAAATAGATCCCCAAAGCAGCAGAGGACCCTCCAGGTGTCCTGGTGAGGGATGGAGGTGTAAAGGAAGTCACTTATTCGCTTGACTCATTGACACTTCTGCCTATCACTCTTTCACAGACTGCCCCATCTTCTTCACTATCTTCTACCAACACATTTCCTTGTCTCTGCCTTGGTAGAAATCTGTTGCATCAAAACTGGAAAAATAAAAGGGATGTACCTCAGTGGGCTGAATAGTTGATCCTATCTGCACCGTCTTAGATTTCTTTGTTCACAATTGCAAGTTAGTTAAAAGTGAATGCCTGGAAACTTCTCTCCTTTGGACTTTACACGTATGCCCCATATCTGTGTGGGTTTCCTCCCACAGTCCAAAGATGTGCATGTTAGATGGATTAGCCATGATCACTTGCCCAGGGGGATGTGCAAGCTACATGTATTAGCCATGGGAAATGCAAGGTTACAGGGATGGGGCGGAACTAGATAGGGTGCTCTCCAGAGGGTCAGTGTGGCTCGATGAGCCATATGGCCTGCTTCCACACTGTAGGGATTCTATGATCTAAGGCATTACCATACCACTCCTGCCCTTCAAGTCCAGCCTTTTTTTTGCATTTCCACCCCTTACTCACTGAATGATTTCAGAATATCTAGTGCCTCAGCTCCATTTTCCAGAACCTATGGCCGAAAATCCATCATCTCTAACCAGGGTAGATAGCCCATCCCCAATCAATTTCCATTTCACGCTCCTCTTAAAACAGCTATGAATGCTGCATCAACTGAAAATTTGTATGACAGTTGGCCAGAAGTACTTTTGATCAGCAAGGACTTCAAGGCATTCTAAAAAAGTCATGTAAACAGATTGGAGATACAGATCAATTATTATCTGGTAAAGTGGGAGAACTGACCTCAGTGGGCTGAATAGTTGATCCTATCTGCACCGTCTTAGATTTCTTTGTTCACAATTGCAAGTTAGTTAAAAATGAATGCCTGGAAACTTCTCTCCTTTGGCATTCTGTAATGTATGGTATTTCTCTTCCTTGTTTCATTTTCCAAGAGAAGTTATTTCAACGGGAAAGCAATCTTCAGCATTAGGTTTTCCACAAGTCCCAGCTGTCAAAAATCTCAGATTGATGAGATTTGCCTGATGACCAAATACTATTTTACAACTTCAAACCTTCCAATACCTGATACCATGACATTCTGTACAGACATGCATCGGTAAATAAACTGAATCATTACTCCAATTCTACTTGTCAACCTCAGAAGACAGAGGCATAATAAGTGTTTTCACATGCAAACAGTAATTTAAGAGGAGGAATTTGAAGGTATGTACATACAGAAATGCGAACTGGGAGAGCTATATCCACAACTGCTTTAAGCACTACATTCAATGACAAGGATGATGATCTGGACTGGGTCACACGCACTTACCCAAAATATTTTTAACAGCACCACAGAACAATTAGCCTGAAAGAAGTTAACACTAAAATTCCCACTTAAAGTTGTAGTTTTGTTGCTGAAAGTTGATTTTGTGAAACAACTTTAAAGTGAATTACATTTCCCCCATTTTAAAAGCTACAGGAGTCAGCCACAGGGATCAGTGAAAGAAAACATACAATGTGACAAAGATGAGTGGTAAACCAGAAGACTGGGAAAAA